ACCATGGAAATTAAAAAAACGAATCATATTGAGCAAAACCATCAAAGATCCGATACCATTATCAGTAAATTCTATTTTATACTTTCAATTTACACAATATATTTACAGCAAACTACAATCAACGAAATTTTAAGGCAAGCGCTATAACCATGGAAATTAAAAAAATGAATCATATTGAGCAAAACCATCAAAGATCTGATACCATTATCAGTAAATTCTATTTTATACTTTCAATTTACACAATATATTTACAGCAAACTACAATCAACCAAATTTTGGGCAAGCGCTACAACCATGGAAATTAAAAAACCGAATCATATTGAGCAAAACCATCAAAGATCCGATACCATTAACAGTAAATTCTATTTTATACTTTCAATTTACACAATATATTTACAGCAAACTACAATAAACGAAATTTTAAGGCAAGCGCTATAACCATGGAAATTAAAAAAACGAATCATATTGAGCAAAACCATCAAAGATCCGATACCATTATCAGTAAATTCTATTTTATACTTTCAATTTACACAATATATTTACAGCAAACTATAATCAACGAAATTTTGGGCAAGCGCTACAACCATAGAAATTAAAAAAACGAATCATATTGAGCAAAACCATCAAAGATCTGATACCATTAACAGTAAATTCTATTTTATACTTTCAATTTACACAATATATTTACAGCAAACTACAATAAACGAAATTTTAAGGCAAGCGCTATAACCATGGAAATTAAAAAAACGAATCATATTGAGCAAAACCATCAAAGATCCGATACCATTATCAGTAAATTCTATTTTATACTTTCAATTTACACAATATATTTACAGAAAACTACAATCAACGAAATTTTAGGGCAAGCGCTACAACCATGGAAATTAAAAAAAACGAACCACATCGAGCAAAACCATCGATATTCCAGACGAATGCTTAATAATCTAACATCCCTCTCATTTTGAAAATATCTTTAATCTCATTTTTAGTAAAATTTTTGATATTATAAATTTTACTATATTATATTTTTTATCTGGTTACAAATGCATATGTGTTGGAACCCAATAATCGTGAAGTCTTGAGGTATATACAATTATTATTATATATTTTCTTATAATTCATATCTTTGTCTCTTTTTTTCTATTTCTTCCTTCTTTTTTTCATTTCTTTGCTCCCCTGAAATCCATCTCCTACCTTCACGCGGTGGGGAGTGAACAGAAATGCTGACTAACAGGAGCTCTGGTGGATAATACTGGTATTTGTGGTGTCAAGTTTACATGTAATAAATCTGAATTATTGGATGAAATTTTCTTTTAACTTAGTACCTGGCACCATTAATATCCATAATCCTTTCAAATGAGATAACTCTAATTCCCCGTCATTCTTGACGGGTTATTAGCTAGGATTAAATAATAAGGATCTTATTACATTTTAATAAATTTTGGTCGGTATTTAGCAAATTAGGTTGGTATTTAGAATATTTCCATACATTCACTTGGTAGTAAGCATCATTAACCTTGATTTCAATATCGTCTTTGACTAAAAATTTCTCTTTTATTAATATTTTTGAATAATGTTAATGTACTCACATGGAAAGGTAATTTAAAAAAAATGTATTTATAAAAAATAAGTTTTATGTTGGAAAATTGATATTCAAATATTTGTAAAAATTTTTTTTTTGGGGGGGGGGGGGTAAAATTTTTATTAGCTGAATGATATTTATGAGAACAGTCAAATTTGCGATGGGGGGGGGTCCCCCCATTGATTACGCGCCTGCTCCTGCACCAAACTAAACTACATATCCATATTAATAGTATAACCAGCGCTTCAAAAATATTATACTGAACCTCCCAGTATTTAACAAATTTTAAACATTTCATCCTGGCGTTATAAAAAATTTATGATTAATTTCAAAATAAAAATCTTGGTTATTTGTAATGTCAACAAGTAAGATATTATAAGTAGCGTAAATAAGCCAATGATGCACATATACATGCACACTTAATAGGTTAATGTATGACACAATTCTTGTAAATTTCTTGTAACAGATTTAGGTTTCACCACCGTGGGACTGTCTTATTCACTACAATTTTGGGTAAATTTGTCTAATAGATTTATATATATAAGAATTTGGGCAGCACTTCCGTGTAACTTGGCTTATTTAGTAAAAATTTGAGCGAGTTTCTAATAGGTTTATTTTCGCAAAAATTTTGGCAGCACTTCCGTACAATTGGTTTTTACTGGCCAAAATTTGGGCAGCACTTCCGTATAGTTTGTCTCTTTTTACTTACAACCAACACTATCGCTTTCTCAATGAAACAACTCAACAAATGTGTATACTACCAACTTTCGATATTTTGTGAATATAAAGAATTTATTTTTTAGATAATAAATTCAATCAAAACTCCATTATTTACAATGAATTAATTATTATGGCATTATGAGCTTGCTGAAATATCTAAACCTTTTAAATTACATTTAAAAGGATAGTTTATTTGGGAAACAATGTGTATGATTGTTTGCAATATATAGATTTAGTCGATGAATTGTATTATAATAATAGTATAATAAAAAGTATTAATTTTTACAGCATTAAATTATGTTTTATTTCATCTCAAAATTTAATAGATAACCCGCCAAAAAATTTATCCTACCCCCATTAAAGCAACTTACCCCTACCCCCTCAAAAAAATAGGATGCAAACTGTTCCTACCCCTCCCGCTCATGTAGACTCTGCTCTTACCTAATTCTTGCCTATAACCGCCCAATAAATAGGTAAATAAACTTTCACCTAACTCTTGCTAACTATAACGGCCCATCAAATAGGTAAATACACTCTTAACTTGCTGACTATAATCACCCAACAAATGGGTAAATACAATCTTAATAGCTTGTTCACGCGAAGGTCGCGAGTTTTTGGCCACCAACTTTTCTAAGTTTAATAAACTCTAATTAATTAAATTAATATTAAAAAAATTTTTAAATATAACTATATTTTTTTTTTTTACTTGATATATTTTTACTTGCTTTTTCCTTTCTATGTTTACACGAAAACGCACAAAAATAATAATTTATTTTTTGTTCTTTTATTGCGAAAAAAAATAATATATATATTAAAAAAAAACACAAATTCCTCAAAACAACAAAATAATATTATCTAAAATAAAATAATATAACTAATCTACACTGAACCATAAAATAATATTATCTAAAATTAATAAAATAACAAATCTACGCGAAACACTAAAATAATATTACAATCAATAAATTATCCAAATACATCACATCTATTAATGTTTATTCATTTATTATTGAATATATCTAAGAATTTAATTTTTTATAAGTTTTTATAGAATAAGAAAATGAACCTAGCTCCAATTAAGAGAGAATATATGAAAAATTTTTACCTAAGCATTTGCAGTTTACCTTGGCATTTGTAGTTTAGTCAAACGGTATTTTATATCCAATACAGCAAAATTAAATTAAACAACTGACATTCTATATCAAAATAAAATGATGAACATTTTTTTATTTACTCCCTTCAAAATAGAATATCATGAAGCATTTTTTTGTCTATGGAATCATACTAATAAAAGCTATATGAAGATAAAATTTTAGGCTTAAATATTTTTAATTTTAAAACGAGATTAAGTGGTTTGCCAATATATGAGGTTTCCCTAACTCCAGTCTCCCTTATTCAAAACTGTCAAATATTTATAAAAGAATGTAAAAATTTCTGATTATAATTTTAATGTAGACCTTTTTAAAAATGTGTTCAATTCTACATATTTAACAGTGTCTATTTTGTTAGAATAATCAATAACACATTTTTATTTAAAGTTAGATAATAAAGAAATAAGAAAACAATAATTAAATAAGAAAGTAACTGTGGAAGAAAAAGAAAAATGTCAAAAAATATTTTAAATGATATAAATTAATCTACAAACTGTAGCCAAAATTATAATAAAAAATATTTTGACTTATAATTTTAATAACTATTATAAACCAAAATTATTTTAGAATATAATGTTATAAATTCAATTTTTAAAACAATTTTATAAAAATATTTTTACATGTTTTATGTATCCTGTAAATAAGGATATAAATAAAAAAATAATAAGGGGTGTAAAAGATCTCTGTAAGTGATACAAGTTTCATTATGGGAAGATGACAATTATCCGATCTTTTTTCCCTGTCTATTTTTACATTTGCAATTTGACCCTAAAATTTAAAATTTTTGTTAATTAAAGTGTTGTGATGATTTAATGAAACATATTGACGATTAAATTCAAAAAATTATTATCTTTGCAAAAATAATTAAAATATAGACAAAGCATTATTGAAATTTCTTTTATTATTCCTTTTGTTATTTTAATTATTTTTGCAAATATTATAATTTTATATGAATGGGTTTGAATTTAATCGTCAATATGTTTCATTAAATCATCACAACACTGTATTTTAATTTTAATATTTATTTTAAGTTTTAATGTTTTACGGCAATTGCAAAAATAGTTTCTGTTTAAATATAGTTTATATGTTTGTTTAAATTTCATTTTATTTTACTATTGCGTAAAATATGGTTTATCCACTTATTGATTTATATAAACATATTTATATTGTTGACAAAAATAGATATGTATAAAGACAGTCATGTATTATTTATGAAAAATTTTATATTTAAAATCTGATTTCATGACAATTTTAGAATGTGGAATCATTTTCAAACCCCTCCAATTCTCTAATATAACAGTTTTATAATGCAATTATTAATCTTGACCAAAGATAAAACTTATACTATTTCGGCCTGATGTCTAAGATTCTATTGTGTTTTAACTAGCTTATAATAATTATTATGTTTTTTTGTTCTAGTGATATGTTTTTATATTACCATTTATATTTTTGCTTTCTTTGTTCAATTAGAAGTGATGTGTTTTTCTCATTATCATTTATATCTTTTTTTTCTTTGTTCACGTATACCGAGTCTGTTTTGATTTCATCCAGAAAACTGGTTCTAGCCAGTTTTCGAGATGGACCTGGATTATTAATATTCTTTTTTTTTATTATTTAATTTATATATATAAAGACCTCGAAAAATCAAATTCAGGATCGATTTTTATTTTTTTACTTGTTTCTGTCCGATATTGGAAAAATAAATTTTTTGATTAACGATTAAAATAAATTCTTGTATTTTAATTATTCGACTACAATTAAATTAAATTCGAGTTTCATAAATTACTCGTTACACGGACAGTATCTACCCCAGCCCGACGGTGGGACCCGTCTGTCCAACTTCAACAGATTCCAACAAAATCAACAAGTAATATAAAAATTATATCTCATTTAATCTATTAATACATGGTTTATATACCTTTATATGATTATATTTAAAAAAGATCGCATGTTGGCGTTTAAATATTACCTGAATTAATATTAATGATAATTATGAAACATTTCTTAATTAGCATAATTATTAATAAAGTGAATGAAAAACAAATATGTTGTTGTGATGAACATTTAAAGTAAAAATTATTTTATTTTCTTAGTAAGAGGACTTAAAGGTGTAATGTGATATTATATTTAGAAGTTGTGTTACAGGATAATATAATCATTTATTATATCACCTTCACACACATATCTCATTTTAAAAGTGTTTATTTTAGTTGTTAAAAAATGTGTGTTGTCCATTTGTAAGAATAAGATAGTTTCTTTAATTTTTTTTTTAATAAATATGAAAATTTTGTATTGTAAAAATCTTTATTAGTTTTTATTTTATTTGCTATTAAGTGTCAAGTGAAAATAAATTAAATAATAAAAGAAAGAGACAATTATGGAAATGAAACTTTTAATGTTTCACGGATTAAATGGTATGTAATTTGTATATGGTTATTGAAAAAAAAACTGCGGGAAAAAATAAAACCTTACTTGAAATCCCTTACTATACTCAAATTACAATTTAAGGGAACTAACTAAAGACGGTTATTTTGTAACAACACGATATTTTTATTCTAATATTTAATATGATTTTTTTAATAATCAATTATTTATAATAAACGAATTATTTCAGACAATAATTTCCAATATTCAAAAAAAACATTAAGGAAAAAAAAATCTCATGATATTTTTTTAAAATAAAAATAATGATTCTTGGTAAAAAAAAATATTATAAAAACCAAGTTCAAATGATTGACATTTCAAATAAAAAAAAATATATTATAATTTATGACAGTTATCTATTCTGGATCATTTTTGTTAAGTCAAACTGTTGTAGTTTTGTATTTTTGTTATATATATAATGTTATATATAAAATGTCAATCAAATGGGGTCTTTTGAAAATAGTTTTTTTCAGTGAAGAAAGAAAGAAAGAAAGAAAGAAAGAAAGAAAGAAAGAAAGAAAGAAAGAAAGAATTATTATGATTTGTAACAAAAGATAACCTTTTTTTAGGAAGCTTTGTCTTACAGCTGATGGAATGTTTTATGATGTGATGTTCTATGATATGATTATGATTATAAAATTAATATAATTCATGGGAAATAAAGTTAAATATTATTATACATATATTCGTTTGTATATTTTTTGATTGAATGTGTTAGTTGTAGTAGTATTATGTGTATTTAAATTCAATGGTGTTAAAGATATATCGTATTTTTATATGAAAAAGAAATGAGGTCAAAGATATATCGTATTTTTATATGAAAAAGAAATGATGTTAAAGATATATTGTATTTTTATATGAAAAAGAAATGAGGTAGGTCAAAGATATATTGTATTTTTATATATGAAAAAGAGATAATGTGAAGGTTGTAATTTATTTTTATTTGAAAAAGAAAAAATTGTTTTTTAGTTAATTTTTTTTTCGCGTAAAAAAGAGAATTTTTTTATGACGAATTTTTTTTATATAAAATAATTTTGATTATAAAGAGTACATTATAGAAATAAAATTATAAATATTTTATCGTGTAATTAACCCAAACTAGTCTAATAAGTTATAAGAAGACGACAAAATTAGTGTTAGATGTAACACAAACAATTAAAGAAATAAAATAAAATCGTGAGAGAAAAAGATGGTGTTTAATTTTCTCATTTTAAATTTATTTAATTTTTCGATTAAAATTAAAATATATTTTAATAATATACAATCCGCAAGTTGGCGTTTATTGAATTTTAAATTATATTTTAATATATAAAATTATTATCATACTATATCATTCTAAAATCTAAACGATAGTTAAAGTATAAAATAAATTATGTAAACATTTAATTACGATTTTAATTATTATTATTTGATCCTTATATATTTAAAAGTATTAAAATAAAATCTTTACATATATAATATCTCATTCGTTAGAATCATATTTATATTAATTTCTCTGAAACTATAAAAAACATTCATTAATTTTACCTTTCTTTTACCGATAATGATAATATAACGTTGAGAGTTATCAATTTTTATTTATCTGTAAAATCTTAGATTTTAGTATGTATAATCCCTTTTTTATAGTAGCACCAAAGGCATATAATGATACATAGATGATTTCATTAAAAGTGTACATGAAGAAAAACTTTTTTTCAATAATGTTGACTAAATTTCCCTTCCCTAAAGGTTCCCTTTCCAGATTATTTCAAAAATTATTTGTCCGCTTTTAAAATGTAAAAGCTTTTCTTTTTTAAAGTTGATTTTTTCAAGTATAAATCAAATTTACCATAAATTTCTATTGATTTAAAACATTGAAACATAGGTAATACTAATATTTTGTTTGTACATACTCTATTTTTGAAATGTTTATCAGATTTTTTTAAAAGTGATACAATCTCCTCTCTGTAAACAGGATTAAAGAGGAGATTAAGATATAACGTAAGTATAACGTACATTATTCCAATGAGGTACAAATACTGAAAGTCAATTCTTTATGGTAGGATATATTATGAGGTTTTATTGAGTGGATGTATATTAAGTATAGAGGCTTCGGAAAGAGGAAAATAAAATATTCCAATATATTTATGAGCACCATTCTTTTATTTATATTGTATTCTGTACATCTGAATTTCATTTAGAGTTCCTGAGTACCGATCACATCTGGGGGACTTGTAATCCTATCGTATTTGAGAGTCTTTATGGATCCGTTCACTCTTAATTTTACATAACGGTGGGTGGAATGTTAAAGTGGAATTCATCTCAACTCTCTCTCGTTTTTTATTTAACATTTTAAGGTTGGCTTTATATTTCAGCAATTTCTTCTTATGCTTTAAGGACTATTAACTAGGTAATGTCTCAAAGCTTTACCATACCAAAATTTCCATTTCCCATATTTCGCAAAGCTCCCTAGCAAGGGATACAGTAGCATAAATTTCAAGGTAACCGGATTTATCGCGTAAAAGGTTTTCATCAAAATTATTATTACATATTTCGACTCATCCTTCCAGGCTGCATAAAGTCCCATCGCATTACCTATTATGCTCATTATCCATACAAACAAATTAAAAATCCTTATGTATAATCCAAGCTTTTCGAAAGTCTTCAAAGACTTACAATGTATACCGGTATTATTATAATATTTGTCCAAGAATGTGTGTTTATTTAATGATAAAAAATGGTAGACGTATGATACATTTTAAGTAGAGTACAAAATCATATAAGTTAATCGGTAAATATAAATTCAAAAAGAACTAATATGATTTTTTTAAAAAAATTTCTAATAAGAATCATGTTGTGATGTCCTAATTGATTTTTTTAATATTTATTTTTCGCTATCTATTAACTCAAAATTAACCTTAAAGATTGATTTTTTTTATATTCTTTATATTAAATTAATATTAACCTCAGTTAGATATAAATTATTTAATAGATTTTTTTTTATATAAATTGATTTTATATACTATATAAAGAACAGAAATATATTGTAATTTCAGTTAAATATTTTTTAATAAATTTAATAAATAAAAATTTTAATAACTTTTTTGATCTTGTTTAATTCCCTGCCAATCTTAACAAATTAAAATAAAATATATTTATTTTTTAATAAAAATTAACATATTTTTTTCCCCTAAAATTTATATTTTATTTTTTCCTAAAATTTTATTTTATTTTTCCCCTAAAATTTATATTTTATTTTTTCCTAAAATTTATATATTATTTTTCTTAAAATTTATATTGATTATCATTAAAATAGATATATAAAGTAAAAATTTATATATTATTTTTTTCAAAAATTTATATATTATTTTTTTCAAAAATTTATATATTTTTTTCTTAAAATTTATATATATTTTTCTTAAAATTTATATATATTTTTAAATTCAATTTTTTTTTTTAAATTCGAAATTCATATACAAATATGGTAAAATATTATTATTTAAAAATTAACTTTATAATATAGAGAATATAATAAAATATGTCATATATCAGTTTAAGTTAAAAAAAGATTGATACAAATGTATATTTTTATAAAAAGATTCTTTCTTTCTTTCTTTCTTTCTTTCTTTCTTTCTTTCTTTCTTTCTTTCTTTCTTTCTTTCTTTCTTTCTTTCTTTCTTTCTTTTACATGTTTGGTACCTTGACGATTGTACTATATCGGGGACCATTTCTTCTATCCAGAATTGTCTAGATATAATCAACAAAGACTTTGATGAACTTAATTTATCCTTAAATACAAATAAATGCGAAATTTATCCTTCTCCGCCCCCAACAGACACCATATTAGATAACTTTAGAGGAACACCCTTACAAGATTTCAGTATATTAGGAGCCCCATTGGGAGGTGCAGAGGGAGTTTTTAATTTTTTAAATAATCAACTTCAATCACTATTTCCCAAACTATCGATCTTAAAAAAATTACCCATCCATCTAGCATATTACATTCTCAAAAACGCCCTTTTAATACCACAAATCCAGTTTTGTTTAAAAACTTCTGGTGCCTTCTCTTTTGAAATTCTTTTAAAAGAATATGAACAACTACAAATGATGACAGAGTTATTAAACATCAAACTCGATTCTAACTCATGGCTTTAAGCAACTCTTCCTTGTAAATCCGGAGGACTAGGCCTAAGATAGTCATTAAGTATAGCCCTTGTTTCCTTCATCTCATCAACCTTATCAGTAAAAAATATTACCTCACAAATTTTTACCATCAATAAATTAGATGAAGCCTTACGTTGTTGGAATATTAATGTCTTACCAAACACAGCCCCACCAGATTCAACGAAACAAAAAGATTGGGATCAAGGATTGGTATCTCATTCCTTAGCTTACCTCAACTTGAGCGATGATCACCAACGTAAATCCCTCCTAAGATCTCTTAATTTCAACAACTCTGGCCATGAATGGTAGATTCATTTCCCAGTATTTTAAATAACCAGCTAATAGATAACGACGCTTTTCGTTATGCAATCAATTTAAGCTTGGGCGTACCTTTCCTAAACCATTATATTTGCATTAAATGCAATCAATAGGCAGACGCGTATGGGAGACACGCTCTCCACTGTAAATTTAAATCAAAAATCAGCCGACATGATAAAATAAATGCAATAATAGATTCTTTATTAAATAAAGCCAATTTTCCCTGTATTTTAGAACCTACATCCTTTTTAGATAAAAAACGCCCTGACGGCAAAACCGTCGTACCTTTTTGGAAAGCCTAATGTGGGATTTTACCTGCATTGATCCCATGGCTCCAACTAATAAATCCCATATAAAACTAAACAATCTGAATATATTAAAAAAATAACTTTTATAAGGTATATAATTAATCATTGGATATTATCATTAAAATAGATACATAAAGTAAAAATTTATATATTATTTTTTTCTAAAATTTATATATTTTTTTCTTAAAATTTGTATATTTTTTCCTTAAAATTTATATATTTTTTTCTTAAAATTTATATATTATTTTCTTAAAATTTATATATTTTTTTCTTAAAATTTATATGTTTTTTTCTTAAAATTTATATATTTTTTTCTTAAAATTTATATATATTTTTTTCTTAAAATTTATATGTTTTTTTCTTAAAATTTATATATTTTTTTCTTAAAATTTTATATTTTTTTCTTAAAATTTTTACTTATAAAATTTATATATATATTTTTTAAAATTTATATATTTTTTTCTAAAATTTATATATTTTTCTCTAAAACTTATATATTTTTTTCTAAAATTTATATATTTTTTTCTAAAATTTATATATTTTTTTCTAAAATTTATTTATTTCTTTCTAAAATTTATATATTTTTTCTAAATTTTTATATTTTTTTTTAAAAATTATTTTTTTCTAAATTTTGATATTTTTTTCTAAAATTTATATATTTTTTTCTAAAATTTATATATTTTTTTCTAAAATTTATATATTTTTTTCTAAAATTTATATATTTTTTTCTAAAATTTATATATTTTTTTCTAAAATTTATACATTTTTTTCTAAAATTTATACATTTTTTTCTAAAATTTATATATTTTTTTCTAAAATTTATATATTTTTTTCTAAAATTTATATATTTTTTTCTAAAATTTATATATTTTTTTCGAAAATTTATATATTTTTTCGAAATTTATATATTTTTTTTCTAAAATTTATATATTTTTCTCTAAAACTTATATATTTTTTTCTAAAATTTATATATTTTTCTCTAAAACTTATTTTTCTAAAATTTATATATTTTTCTCTAAAACTTATTTTTCTAAAATTTATATATTTTTCTCTAAAACTTATATATTTTTTTCTAAAATTTATATATTTTTTTCTAAAATTTATATATTTTTTTCTAAAATTTATATATTTTTGTCTAAAATTTATATATTTTTCTCTAAAACTTATATATTTTTTTCTAAAATTTATATATTTTTTTCTAAAATTTATATATTTTTTTCTAAAATTTATATATTTTTTTCTAAAATTTATATATTTTTTTCTAAAATTTATATATTT